TAAACCTGTGAAGGATCCCTGTAGCCGTGTCATTGTTATAGTACTGCTGTTAAGAAGGCCACGGTACTGTAACAGTACTATAACAGTATAACAAACAATATTTTTAAAATAAAATTTAATTCCTTTAAATATTAAAATAAGAACAAGATATTAGAGTTAATTATACTACAGAATTCTAATATCAAAATCTTGATGCTTAAAATCTTGATAACAAAATTCCAAAACATAAAATCCTGACAAATTAAAATTTTGACAGCATTAAAATCCTAATATTCAAAATCCCGATATTCAAAATCCTAACACTTTCAAAATTTTAACAGAATTAAAATCTCAAGCTAAAATTTTAATTCTGTTGAGATTTTGAAAGTGTTGAGATTTTGAATGTCAGGATTTTGAATGTCAGAATTTTAATGTTGTCAGGATTTTAATTTGTTGGAATTTTGTGTTTTGGGATTATATTGTCAAGATTTTAAGTGTTGGGATTTTGAGTATCGGGATTTTGTAGTAAAACTATTAGAGTTAAGCAAAATTATAGTAAAATTTTATAAATAATTTTTTTGTTATAATTCAGCAGTTTTGATCTTTTTTATTTAAGATTAAACTAAACTAAGAAATTTATATTTTCTAATAATAGCTATATTAAACTAACCAAAAAGCAATTTACTTATACTTGTGCTAGATATGACCTGCCTTAGTAGACTTCAAGCCTCTTTTCAGATTTTTAACTTACTAGAGGTTATTCTTTGGTCATAGTTAGTGCTACATATTATATCAAAATTAACTTTTTTTTTTTTAGTATTCAGATGAGATCTTGCATATGACTTTATTTATTGTTAATACTTTCATTACATATATTACTACATTTTTATATTTATATATATCAAGTATACCAAGCTTAGATCCGGATCCTATTGATTATCTACGCTTTGGCTGAAACTATCACTTGTGCGATAGGTGTCCTCATCCACTATCTGGCCACCGATCTATTATCTGTGATCCAAACTTACCAGAGTGGTACATCCTTATGAATAGCACTTACCTGGTATTTTTCCACCCTTCACTAGTCCTATTTTGGTACACTTCTCTATGACGTCATTCTCCATATCTTTTATACTACTTATATCTAAGCTCTCAAATTTGGTAGTCCCTTCTGAGATATAGTCTCGTAGCCTCAGGGACTACTTTTAATCTTGGTTATCTTCAGCTAATCTGCCCAAATAATATCACAAAAAGAAACTCATAATGGCCCAGGTCATTAATGCCTAGTTTAGTTAGTATGCTGCCAATTCCTATTACCTTATAGATAGGTACTCTTGTGTATTGGTGCAGGCTCACCATATTGCATTATAAGTTACCTCATAACTTATAGATTGTGGGTTTCATATTACTTCTCTACTATAGTTTAAGCTATGGTATTCCGATGCCCTGATATTTTTAGGTTACAAAGCTCTAGGGTCTAGATCTAGTTGCGGCTTGTGGTCCGTAATATTTCTAATTTCAGTATTTGGTGTTCCTTATCAATTTCTGGTATACAAGCCTGATTTGTACAATTGTATTACCAGCCTGATGAATCCAGCCATTTCGAGTTTTTACTGCATACTCCGAGTTTCAGCCTTCTCACTTTGTCCTCACAGATTTCTTCCTTAATAGGCCAAGTGGCTTGGAGCCAGAGGTGCTTCCGAACTCTGAATAGACCAATCTTTTACCACAAGTTGTCCTCGTGTTCACCACTGTTCTCACTATTTCAATTTTGTTACTGTCATGTTACTCTCTCAATCAAGTATTCCAACCGTTGAGAATGTTGGTGCTGCTTCAGTCATTTCTAATCGAGGACTAACATGTGCAACCTTTCGTATAATAGAACTTTTCATAACCTGTCATATATAGTGCCACTACTCCACGATTGGACCTCCTTCCGAAAATTTCCTTTTCTGATTCGTACTTGCACTTGAACTTAATTACAGAGCTTCACATTCAATTATAGCCCCTTATTGGGTTACAGAAGCTAAAAATTCTAAGATTTTGCCTCCAGCCCAACTTAAACCATCAACCTAGTCTGTGGGGGTTTGGCAGCTTAACCGCTAAGCTATAAAGCCCAAACCCTCAAAATTAACTTTTCATTTTATAAAATGAAATACAAATATAAATATAAAAAGCATAACAAAAAAAAAAAAATACTATAATGTCAAATTTTGATCTATCTAAACTAAAAAACTAAATAAAACAAAAACAAAAAGAAAGAAAAAACAAAACAAAACAAAACAAAAATAGCACTATTAAACCTATGCAAGATTATAAAAATAATATAGTACTATAAATAAACTAGTCTGAACTCTATGCTAGTTATTTATACCTATATCCAAAATGTAAAAATATTAAAAACTATTTAGTCTTGAAGTAGAGATTCAAGTTCAAAATTTCTGTTATAAATCTAGCAAATTTTCTGCAATATTTCAACCTGTTACTTTCTAAGCAAAGTTAATGAGCTGTTATCTGTCAACCCATATTGGCGAATTAGGTACTCTCAGTATAACTACTACAACTTTTTAAAAAAAAAGTATCTGATACTATTAACCCAAAATATATATATATATATATATATTTTTTTTTTTTGGTAGCAATCATTGTCATTGATCTTTTTATAGAAATAAGTTATATTTTTTACTTTTTAATGAAATTTTGTAAAAGCCAAGAGTGAAGTATAGAAAAGGGTTTCAGTTTGCAAGTAGCTTCAAACTTCAATAAGGAAAGTATTGAAAACTCATTTGTTGTTCTTCCTAGACCAACTAGCTTTAACTTCATCAGCAGAAGTAGTGCTTCTATTAAAATTTTCTGTATAAAAGCACCACTTTTTTATTAGTTATCTTGTACAAGAATGCTTTAACTTATATGCTAAATATACAAAGGAGTTTGAGAGAAATATAGAAGTCTTTAACCTCTGTAAAAATCATTATTCGTAGTTATCTCTTCTACTTTTCTTTAACAAGTTTTTATTTTTCATTAGTTATAAGTTTGGTACAGTAATCATTAGAAAGAGTTCAATACAAAGAATTTTTTTGTTAAAGTTCAAAAAGTAGTTTTATATATAAGATTTTAAAATTTAATTGATTTTTTAAAAAATTCTTTGTTTTTATTATATATGTTATATCAGATCTAAATTTTGATTGGCTATAATGTCATAGTGCTATAAAAATATTTATATTATAATATTATAATAGTTAAAAATAAAAAGATTTAAAAAAAGTTAAAGAATTATTAAATAATTTAAGGTATTAATTTATAGCAACAGGTTATTATAGAGACTCTATATGAATAACTAATCAAAATTAAGTATATAATTATATAATCTTAATATTGTATATTGCTTATTATTGCCCGATAACATTTTTTACAAATTTTTATAACTTTTATTCCTTAAACTGTAAGGCTTTTCTAAACAAATTTGTCTAGAAAATTTATTATAAATATATTTATAATCTATGGTTTTTAAATTGGAAATTTATTTTTGGTGCACCCACACCGTGTGCGGGGTCTGATTGTGGGATCTGATTGACCAGTCCGATTGTGGGGTCTGATTGACCAATTGCGCTATCACGTGGCTCAGTGATTTTGTGTACCCGTAACCCCTTACACAGTCTCAGCGATTTTGTATACCCATACCCCTTACACATTTGGTACGTACGTACGTACATTTCTCCACAGGTCCCAGATCGTCGGTAAAAAATTTGATTGATGTGGAGTAAATTTTAAGTGCAGTTTATTTATTGTTTACTCGATTAGAGGATGATGTACCTGAAATTTTAAATAAAAAGCATGATCGAAATAAAATTCTTGCTCTCTCTTGGCATAGTAGTTATATAAAATTTTCACGAAAGTAAAAAGAGCAAGCCGATATTTTGATTTTTTTTTCGTCACGGCCTAGTTTAATAAAGAACAAAGTAAATAAAATCCTAAACAAGTGAAAAGTAGAATTGTTAGACACACTATTTTAAAATTTTAAACAAGTGTTGAAATATTACTTATCTGAACAAGCAGGTATTAAGTTACCGCAGGTTCCATATTAGTTACAACTTCCTTTAGCTTCTACACCAACTTGATTATCAGATTTTTTTTGTTCACTTTATTTATGCTTTTGAACATAATTTTTTAGCGAAAAAAAATAGAGGCATCGTATTACATTTGAAACTGTTGGTCGTCCTTGTCATCGTAATTTGTAAATTACTATGTACCTTTATAACTAAAAGCCAACAAACATTGATCTTTTGCCTAACACAACAGTATCCACAGTTACTTTATCTATGTTTCAAAGCAAAGACTCTACTTTTGTGCCATGTTCATGTCAACAACCTACAAGTTCTATAAGATCTAATATTGAAATTTACTGTGTTAATGTGAAAAACGAGTAAAACTTTGTGAAGATATATCAAATACAAGCACTTGTAATTTTATTATTAAGAGTCAAATAAAAATAGATTTTAAAATCTTCATGTTTTGTAGAGCAATCTTTTCAAGTCAAAGATTCTATTTTTTAATCACGTTCATATCATCAATCTACAAGTTCTACAAGTTCTAATATTGAAATTGACTGTGTTAATTTTGAGTCTGACGAACATTTAGATAATGAGTTTGATGATCAATTAGATTATGAATTTGAAGAACAAGTAGAACTTTATAAAGGTATATCAAATATAAGCCTTTATAATCTTGTCCTTAAAAGTCAAATAAAGATAGATTTTAAAATCTTCATTTTTGATAGGGCAACCGTTTAATACTATCAATGAAGCATATGCTGCAGTTGAGGCTTTCGCACATTCAAATGGGTTTGGAATTAGAAAGGGTCGAGTTGAAAAAGACACAAGTAATGATCATGAAATTTCAAGAATGTTTCTATGCCGCCATGCTGGAAAGCCGTTAAAAGAAAAAAAATCATATAAGATAGAAGAATCTGGATCATGTAGAACAGACTGTAAATGGAAAGTTAACATATACTGGAGCAAACGGCTTAATAAATATAACATATCTACCTTTACAAACGTTCACACTGGTCATACCTCTGATCCAACTACTATAAGATTTATTCCAAAGAATCGAAAACTCACCAGTAATATGTTAAAAAATATTGAATTTTATACCGTTATTGGAAAGCTTAATTCAAGTGCACAATTTTGGCTTCTTTCTGGAAAGTACAATGTCCCAATTCATCGTCACAATTTGTATAATGCCATTTCAAAATTTAAAAAAATTGATTCTCATGTGAATAATGACGCATCGCAATTATTATCAAAATTATTTAAAAAAAAAGAGTAAGATTCAAGATGGGTTATAGAGTGGCGTTTTGACCCAAACACCAATGCATTAACACATCTCTTCTGGATGTCTCTCAATCAACTTGATCTTTGGATGCGGTATAGCAATATTATTATTCATGATAATACGGCAAAAACGAATATTTATAATATGCCACTATCCCTCTTTATTGCAATTGATAATACCTATCGATCTCGTCTCATTGCACAAGCAGTTTTAGATGATGAAACAGCTGAGTCATATTTCTGGCTGCTTGAAGTTTTAATTAGGTCTACGGATGGGCTTTATCCAAATATTATTTTGACTGATGCCGATCCCGCTATGACTCTAGCTGTTTCAACCATTTTACCCTCAACTAAGCATCTTCATTGTGTTTGGCATATCAGCCAGAATTTACAAAAAAACCTTAAGGATAAATTAGGATATGATTGGAATTCTTTTATTAAAGATTTTTACAAAATGCGCAATTTATTGGATTCACCAACTTTTGAAAGTTATTTTAAATCTTTATTAGATCGTTACCCAAAAGCAGCACAATATCTCCATAAAACTTTATATCCTGATAGACAATCTTGGGCAAGAGCATATACGTTTCGTCACTTTACTGCTGGTGCACAAGCAACTAGTCGTGTAGAATCAATTAATTCACATGTCAAAGATATTATATGTCGTGGTCAAATAACTCTGTATGAGCTGTTTAATTCACTTGATTTATTAATTTCCAGTCAAGACTATTATTACGATTTTATTAGCTGGAAATCGTTAAATCCTAATATTAAACCACCAAACGTTTGCGACACCATGTATAAAAACATTGATTCGATCCTCAAAACCTTTGTTGCGCCTAATTTAATTGAGAAAATTCGCTATGAAATAAATCATAGCTTATTCTATCATTCGGCTAAAATTAACCCAGAATTTTTAAATTCATACCAGGTAAATAATCATTCATTTACAAGTCATCTAATTTATTAACAATATTTTATGAGAAAAACGTGGTTATTATAAATGAGCTTGTTGGTGAAATATAAGACTAATGACTATTGACTGTATTAATATTTTATTTTTTATTTTGTTATAGGTGCAAGATGATGATATAATATTCACTGACAACGCATTTGATTATCCGCTAGCATATTCTTTTGCAATTTTTAAACAAGTTGAAGACCAAGTAGTCGAAGTTTGGGAAGTAATACACATGACATGGCAACATTCTCAGCTTCATATATTTTTGTTGAAGGACAGTTCATTTACATGTAGTTGTATATTATTAACAAATCATGGATATCCTTGTAGACATTTTTTCAGAGTAATGGCATTTTCTTTGGCTGCAAAATTTTCTATCAATTTTGTAGCAAGTCGTTGGTTGTATGAGAAATACCAAGATAGAGATCTTGGCGCACAACCTTTTGTCAATTTATCTGCAGTTTTTTCGTCTAAACCATCAGAAGAACCATCAATCCCAACCACTATATTATAAAATAATAACTCTACAGATTTATTTTCAGCATCACCTCATGCTGCTAAAAAAAATAATAGATAAGAAAAAGAGCTATGCAGAAACTATCGGAATTGCTCATAAAGCAATCAATATTGCTATTGAAATGGATGATCCTGACGTGCTTAGATTTTTAAAGGAATATATTACTCGAAAAGGACATTCACTTGTTGAGAATACAACTAGCGTATATATGCTTAAAGAACAATCTAAGTCTAATATTCCTGAAACCTCATCCGTCAGATCATTTGTTGAGAATACAACTAGTATAAATATACTTAAGGAAAATTCCAAGTCTAATATCTCTGAAACCTCACCCATCAGAGTTTCTAATCTTATAAAAAAAGTTAGAAAAGGTAGACCACCAAAAACGACTCGCTATTAATCATCATTAAAGGAACAATCATCAAAAAATCAAGGAAAACGACTTAAATTGACACGTAGTCCAGGAACCAATACATGTGGTGAATGCAGGGGTAAAGGTCATAATCGCCGATGGCATGCAAAGCATGGAAAGAAGGTTCATAACATGTCAATTATTTGTCAACTTTGTGGTGGTAGTGGGCATAAAAAGGAATTGCACGACTGTGATTCTGTTGAGGTTAATGATGAAAATAAATGGGTGAAGTCTAGTGATTTAGAATCAGAATCTGAATAAATAGTTGTTAAATGTATTTAGAATAGATCATATATTATGCGAGATCAATGAATTAATAAATATATAGTCATCTCTCAGCATATGCATATCTTTTATATAGTTCAAATTTCAAGTTGATATTCAGATCGAATGATTAATATCAATTGATTTAAAATTTGAAATTACTATGCAAGCATTTTTTAATTTGTTATCATTAAGTCAATCAGTATAACATTTTAATTAACGGTTACATTACATAAACTTATTGTAACTAAATAAATAAGAACAAAACCTAGTTGCATAAAGTTTATAGCTTATATCTTCCTGAAGCTAAAAAAGATTATTTTATAACTCAAGAATGAGTTGGATCAAGAAACAATTAAAGGTTGTAGAATAGCACCTAAATAGTACGTATCAAAAGGCTGCTGGTAATAGAAGGATTAATGTATTTACATGTTTCAATAGACTATTGTAATAATGCGTTTCAGCTAGGGTTATAAACTTATAACTTACATAATAACTAACTTAAATAATTTTGAAATTTTTGACTAAGCAAACATATAAATTGCTTGTAAGTTATATTGTAAGTTGCATCAAAATTTTGTAAGTTTACAACCATAGTTTCAACATATCATTATAAGAGCATCATTATATATATATATATTACAATACTTGGTCATGGTGCCTAATAAGAGTCAACTGGTTCAATAAGAGTGTCATGATATAATAACCGGGTTATTATATCAGACATAATATAATCAGTATTACAGGTTTATAACATACTTTTATGCATTAGTGTGTATAAATTAACACTGCATATATAGAGTTTACTGATTTAACCGATATAACGACACACAATCAATTACTACATTCTATTATATGAACCTGAATGATTGTGATCCATGGTATTGGTCATCACTACAGAAAAGTACATATTCTGGTTTTGAACACATACAACAGTAAATACGTACTTGTAAAAAAAAAAAGTGCAACTTTATCATTATAGATTTTTTTTATATTTTTAATAGAGTTTACCGGGTATTATTGGGTCATACTGGGTTTGTTCAAAAAACTCAGGCCCGACCTAGTAATTAACAGGCCTAACCCAAGCCCAGCCTATAAAGATATTGGGTCTAAAAATAAGTACCCAAACCAGGCCCAAACCCAACCCAACCCATAAATTTCCGGGTTTGGCCCGGCCCATTCCGGACCCTAGTTAGAATATATTCTCGTCAAAATATACTTGTCTGGGGCCTCCTTGAAAAGGGCACCACATGATTCTATAATCTAATAAAAGTGATAAGCCAAGGAGGCTAACCTTGACTACAAAAAAAACTAAAAAAGGAAAGACATATATATATATACATATCTACTTTGAGATGAATAGTATAAGATAATGTAATAATATTTAAAACATTACAGAAAATTTATTAACCTATTTGGGATAGCAACTAGAAATTTCAATTTTTAAAGCTTTATTTCAAAACTAAATAATTTTTAATATTTTTATATACATAAATAACTAGCATAAAGTTTAGTTTAAGTTATTTGTAATACAATATAAGTTTTATAATCTGATATAGAAGAGTGTAGCGACTTAGTAAAGTTGGTAAGTTGTTGTACCAGCAAACAGCAGAATAGTAGCAGAACAAGAATTTGAATTTTACTGATAATGAAATTTAAATTTTACAGAATGTATTGTGGCAGACTGTGTATAATTTGATGAATTTGTAGATTTGTAGCTTTGGTTGTATTAGCTTGTACTGAGAGACTATAGAATATTAGTGTGCCATATAAGTTATATGAAACTCAAGTGAAGTAGCTAGATAAATCTAACAGCTATAGCGCACAGACAAGTCTTAAATAGAGAAGTAGTACAGATTTTTAATAGTACTATATAAAGAACCATTAACTAAAGAACTAGAAAACTAGATAAGACCAAAATGTTTAACAAAAGCATATACCAACCAGATCACTAGGTAATTAGAGAAAGAGTTTCCCTTCTAGGCTATCTGGATTGGGAGTTTGATAAAATCAAAAGAATTATAGATAGTCTATATAGTGAGTGCTGGGGTTTGGATAAATTTTATAAGGGCAAAAGTAGATAACATTAGTAGTTTCAGCTTACAAGTACTTGTTCTCAGACTCAATATAAGTTACCAAAGTCTAGGTTAGCCAGATTATAAGTACAAAAAGCTCTAGCAACAATGCCTTGAGGATAAATTAGTCTTAAAGGAATAGAGAAAGCATTCAGAACTTCTCATCTAACAAATATAACGAAGATGTACTAATAATATAAATAGATTGCATTACAAAGAGTTTAAATAGATAATCCTCTAGTTGGGTTATAGATATGGCAAATAGTGTAGTCTCTATAATATAATACAAATATACAAACTATTTAAATAAACAATCAAAAAATATATATATAGCTAATTATATACTTTAATATAATAAGAAGCTCTATTATAAGCCTCTTCACTTAAATACTTAAATAAAAAATTTTAGTTCTAAAAAGACTAATTAACAAAAAAAAATAATCTGATATGGATTTAATAGTGCTATCTTAAATGGTATAGCAACTTAGTGAAATTGGTAAGTTGTTACATCCTCAAGCAGCAGGACAAAAGTTTGAATCCTACTGGCAATAAATTTTGAATTTTACAAAATATGTTACAGTATACTATATACAATTGAACAGATTATTAGATCTGTAGACTTGGTTATATCAGCTCATACTGGAAGGTTATAAAATATTAGTGTGATAAATGAGTTACACAAATTCTGAGTGAAGTAATTGAATAAATTCAGAGGTTTGGAGTACACAGAAGTCTGCTCGGCAAGTCCTAAATAGAGAAGTAGCACAGACTTTTGACAGTACTATATAAAGGATTATTATATAGAAAAAAGAAAAACTGAATAGAACTGAAGTGTTTGGTAAGTATATATCAACCAGGCCACCAGGTTAGCCAGAAGAAGGGATTTGTTCTTTTGGACCATCTGGATTAGAAGTTTGAAAAAACTAAAAGTACAGTTAATAGTCTGTATAGTAAGTACTAAGGTTTGGATAAACTCTATAAAGGCAGAAGAACCAGGAATTGTGCAGTTAATAGTTAGCCCTAACTGCTAGTATTGGTTTTCACTATAATAAATAGATTTTCTAAATCTAATTTGGAAATATGTAAGACATAGAAGAATTAGATGACATCTATTATGCCTACTTGTAGAAACCCATAGATAACCAATAAGATAACCAAATCTAGGTAAGATAGTAGAGGACACTTTGGTATAAAGGTATCTAGCTTAGAAATAATTGATGAGTAGTATTTCTATAATACTAAAATATAGATCCATGTGATCAATAACAAAATATCAATAAAAGCTTGATTCTAAAGAATACTTTAAAAAAAAAATAATAATAATACTATCTTTATTTTTTTTTCTTTTGTTTTTTTCTTTCTTTTACTATTTGATTTATTTGGTTTTGTTTATTTAAGTAGACCAGAATTTGATATTAAGATATTTTTCTATTTTTGCTTTGCTCTTTGTATTTATATTTGTACTTCATTTTATAAAAAAAAGATAATTTTAATATAGTGCATAACACTAGCTTATAATCAAAAATTTCTTCTAATAAGTTAGAGGTTCAAAGAAAGGCTTGAAGTCTACTGAGACATATTATATCTGGTACAAGCATTGTTACAAAGTAGATTTTTAGTATAGATTTTATTAAATATTATTTAGTTATTTTTAGTTATTATTATTTAAAATATT